CAGACCCCCGTCCGCTCCCCAACCTTCGCCTGCCGTGGCGCACGCGGGTTCGTGTGGTGCCCCCTCCCCGTCGCCTTCCCCTGTGCTTTGCGATATCCCTCCCTGTCCCCCCCCACGCCCATTTAGGTAATAATCCCCACCGAAACCCACCTCTCCCCCCCCATATTCATGCAGTAAACTAGCGTCGGTTGTTTATGTTCCTCTGCAGGCTGAAATCACCTATTCTTTATTATTTTTACTTATTTTACCTTAGAAGTAATATATAGGTGTTTATATTTGCTGTATTATTTCCTACAGCCCCATGTCTGGAGATCGTAATGCAGTTGCTGCCTGCTCCATCTGAGATTTGCTTAAATCCTTAAAACTCTACATAAGCAGACAGCTCCTCTGTGTCAGCAGGTGCCTTCAAATACAGGCACCCGTCAAATCTGTGGGAGCGCGGGCTCCGTAGCGAGTCTTGTATGTCTGTACAGTTTCACTGCAGACAGTTTATCGGTAGTCCTTGACTCCGTTACGGATGTTTTCTCCCGCAGGAAATTAAGAAGTTAAAGCGGTGGTCACAGATACTGTAATCCAGGCCTAACCGAGGCTAAATAATGTGCTTGCAGGTTATTCTACAGGCTGCTGCAGGTGATAGACCTCTCATTCGTGCACGCTTTTTCTCCTTACTTTCGTGTCAGATGATGTATCACGTGGACAGTGATATATGTTATCTGTTATTGATGTTGTTACCTAGCCAATTTTATATGTGTGTGTTTACGTATTCCGTTTATTTGAGAGGGCTTTAAGTGTGTGAAAACATTTACTTAATCATGCTCTGGCAGGCTGTGCTCCAGCAAGTGTAATTACTCTAAGAAAGATATTTCTTTTCAGCCCAATGATGTTGCAAAAAATCCTGAAGTTTAAGCAGCTGATTGGAATGTTGATATATTTGTGCAGACTTTAAGGTCAGGGAGACAAAACTTCTTACATGCTCTGATTTGGAGCTCTTGAGGTTTATGTCATACTTCAGAATTTCTTTGTGACCCTCGAAATATTTTTGTGGACCACAGTGTAACTTTTTAAAAGCTTGAAGTGATGATGTTACAACCACACTTTTACAAACCTAATGTTACAAAAATAATTTTAGGAAGTTTCCAAAACCCATTGACACTTGAACAGTATTCATGGAAGCGTTTTATTACCTTTTAAATAATTGTTTATATACAGCCTCAGAGCAGTCATGCATATCTGCCGTTAACCAGAAAAATGTCACTGCTGGGATTTCTCTCCGACTTTAATAAATAAATAAATTAATTAATTAAAAATATGATGCACAAACATAACCGAGCTAGTAGCAAATAAGCACTGGACATATGACTTATTATAGGTTTTTTTTTTTTTATCCTCTAGTTCTAAATTGAGGAGAAAATGTCACTTTACGATGACTTGGGAGTTGAGACCAGCGATTCCAAAACAGAAGGCTGGTCCAAAAATTTCAAACTACTGCAGTCTCAACTGCAGGTGAAGAAAGCAGCTCTTACACAAGCAAAGGTATGATCTTTAGTAATTTTACTTTCTGTTGTTGATAGTACTTCTGTGTTAGGAACACTGAGGAAAGTTTGTGACTTTGGAATGCAGATTTGGGATCCTTTTGTTATGATCTGTCTGTAAGTTTGTAGGGTGGAGCCTACGGAAAAGGCATTGGGCATGGGGACCAAGATTCAGAAATCTGTTAGAGGAGGTCTTGTAAAGTTAAAAATCAAATGAAGACTTGACATGTGCCCTGTCGGCCTAAAACTTTTTTAATAATAGAGCTAAAAGCTGATCTTTGTATTTAACCTCAAAGATAACGAGATTAAGCATTTCCTTCTTCTTTTTTTTTTTTTTTAAAGTAGGTAACAGTCATGCTGCCCTTGATAGTTTGGCAGTATCAGCTGTTGGTCATTCCTGGCATTTTGCATCAGTTGTCACTTACATGTTTGCATCGTTTTATGCTTCCTATTTAAAAAGGCTTTAGGTGCTGAAGTGCACATCCTTGTATGTTAGAAATTTGCACAGAAAGTATTGCCAGTATACCTGAAAAGGAAAAGATGTGAAAGCTAATTGTTAGAGCCTAGACTGTGACAGTGCCATTTTCTCTTTGTTTTATTGCTACGGTATTTCACCCTGTTTCCTTAAGCGCTGTAGATGTTTTAAGTTCAAGCAGGACATGTGTTGTTTGCAGTCTGTGTGTTTTACAATGAGAATATTTGATTAAAAATAGAAGAATAACTGCAATTAATTATGTAGGATACTTTACCAGGCATAACATTTTATCACGGGAATTATTCCTGGTTTATACTGCTGAAATTGAGCACAGAATTTGGAACACTTGTATGAATGAAATCTGAAGTGGCGTATATATTGTATATGTTCTTTCCGTATGTATCTGATATGCTGTATGTGTACAGGCTATAATAGAAAAATAGAATAAGACTGGAAAATTCAAAGTTCAAAACTGGATTAATACATTTTATCAGATGATAAAATATGAAGAACAATAGAATTTGTCTTTAGGAAAAGTCTAAACCCCTACTGGATCAAAAAAAAAATCTTAAATTCAAACTCTATCTGAAGATATCATCTGAATTTTTAATACCCGTCTTTGGCCTTAGTTCCAAACCTTTCACCTATCACTCTTTGTTCTAGTGCATGCATAAGAAAGTCTGATATTGCTGTCTTAAAAGCAGGAGAATTTACACTGTTTTCACTGAGGCTTGCTTTGAATTATTGCATCAGATCTTTATTTTTTGTAGCAGTTCTTTAACTGTAGTTGGCAAGCCTCTGGCTCAGAGCAGAGTTTGCCTTTGCCACCACTAAACATGAAATAAACGGATTTATCCACATCAAGGTTCATTAGAAATATTGAGAATTACTGTGTTGTGGTAAATTTACGAGAAATTGCATATTGAGCTTTGAGCAGTGAAGATTTTGATCCAGAGCTTGACTGAGAGAGAAATCCACTTGAAGAGTATTTTTAAAAAGCTGCTTTTTAGAAAACTATTTTCTTACCTTTTTAAACCTTTTTTTTTTTTTTTCCTCTCCAGAGTCAGAGAACAAAACAAACAACAGTCCTTGCACCAGTGATTGACCTGAAACGAGGCAGCTCTTCTGATGAGAGACAGATTGTGGACACGCCACCTCATGTAGCAGCTGGGTTAAAGGTAAGATAAAGGTAGTCAGGCAGTCTAAGTGTTTCTGAATTGGAATTCTTTGACGGTAGTCTGTATTTTATTTTTTCATCACCTCTTCCTACCAGTCGAAGTAGTGATCTTTGAAGTTGATTTGGTTTGTTCAGAGATTTTTAAATTGGTGAAGGTTTCAGCTTTATACAGGCTTCCATATGATATAACGTGGAAGTGCCAAGATCAGCGTGCAATTAAACTAAATCAATGGTCCTAGCGTCTTTCTCCTGGAAAGCTTCAAAGCACTTTGCGAAACAGCAGTTTGGTTAGGTAAATAGTGATGGTAACTGTGATTGCACCAGTGTTGGAACTGGACCTGTGTTAACAGTTGAATTAAAAATGAAGTAAAAGTCACCTAATTTTTAAATGCTTTTCCCATGGTAAGCAATCAAAAAAAACTTTCTCTCTGAAACTTTTTGGAAGATGAAAATTTTGAAATAGTTCTTTCAGATTAGAGAAGAACACTGGGTCTGCCTCTGTCAGGTTCTGTGTTAATAGCAGTTGATGAAAAAGACTCATGAGATTGCATGGGATGACCCTGGCAGATGGTTGCAACATCAAGATGCATTTTCTAATAATAGTAAACGAATGGGCATTAAAATATTCTTGTCTACGTTGATTTGCTGCTACTTTGTGTTTGGTGGGCGTGGATTCTGCTCTTCATGGAGTTATTGGAGGTGGTGAGGGACTACATGAAACCTTAGCTTTGAAGTAAAGCAAAGCTTTCTCTTTATATCAGCTGGATGAGGGTATTGCCTGCCGCTGTAGAAGTCGGAAATGGGGTTTAGTGATACTTGGAGTGAGGAGGGCGTGTTTATCTGTTGGGAGTTTTTTGCAGATCTCAGGAGGAAAATACCAATCATTTTCCTTTCCTTTTCTAAGGATCCTGTACCTAGTGGCTTTTCTGCAGGAGATGTGTTGATTCCTTTGGCGGATGAATATGATCCCATGTTTCCAAATGATTATGAGAAAGTGGTAAAACGTCAAAGAGAGGAACGACAGAGGCAGCGTGAACTGGAGAGGCAAAAGGAGATTGAAGAAAGAGAAAAGTGAGGTTTTTGTTTTAGCTCGTGACATGTTGACTGTTAGAGAAAGATTAGTTATTTAAATATCTGTTCTCTTAGTTTTTTACCTCTAAGCAGTTTCAGGGAACTTCTTAACGCTATTGTGAAGAATATTGTATGCTTGCAGAAGCAAACAGTGCAGATTTTAATGCTCTTGCTGAAATCATCTAACAATGCAAAATCATTTGATTTATCGTATTTACAGACTGTTTGGTTTTTAATGGACAAGCTGGACAACATTTATCAAATCTTACTGTCTTTATTTTAACAGTGGCAGCAATATTTGGGTACTTAATGCATCGTTATCAGACCTTGACCTTGCAGAGATTTCAGAGTATTTGATTTCAGTATAATCTGACTTCAGAAATACCTTTCCACAGTTGGTGATAAACCGTCTGTTTCCCTTTTACATATTCCAAACTGCCTTGTGAAAGCGTTTCGGTTTTACAGCTCTAACTAGCTCTGCCTCTGAGAGGCACGGTTCCTTTTCTTTTTCTTTCTTTATTAATGCTCTTCGTTAGTTTAAGCAAGTTAATTGCATATTTATTACTCTTCTGTCTCAGGATAAAAGAAAGTACTACTTGCTTTTAATTATCTCAGTGATCTTTTCCTGGAATAACAAATCTCTTTAATCTTATTAAAGAAGTTGAATGTCGATTCAGTGTGTTATGGAAATAGGTGGTAAAACATCTATTAGCCAGTAAAATTACATTCTCTTAATAAGAGAAATGAATAAGCCAATTTCATCTTCGTATGAATCCTCTGAAGTCCATGGAATCAATAAAGAGATGCTATTGCTCTGTTCAGGCTGAAGGAGCTAATATTTCTAGTCACTTGGGCTTCTCTGTCTTCTCTCAGTTATGATCTTCGTTGCTGTAGAGGAGGAGGAATGCCCGAGGCCCTCTCATAGTTCTCTTTAACTGCCATGCAAGATCTCAGAAATCTCGGTTGACAGTTCCCTAGCTTCACCATTGCTTGCCGTTTAGTTGCGCTTGTGGCTTGTTGCATACAGGCCAAGAGATTTGAGTGTAGTCCGTAGATAGAGTTATAGATATGTGTATGTGTGTAAAACTCAAGGGAGGAAGTTGAAAATACATAACAAACTTTGATTTTCAAGTTGGGGAAACAATCTGTCACCCAAACATGCATCAGATGTATGCTTTGTGATAAGCCAGGTAGACTTGGTATTTCTTATCCTAATATATTGTGTTTCCTAGAAGACGTAAAGACAGACATGAAGCCAGTGGGTTTTCGAGAAGACCAGATCCAGATTCTGATGAAGATGAAGATTATGAAAGGGAGAGAAGAAAAAGAAGTAAGGGAGCTATTTATTCTTTTGGTAGGGGGGAAAAAAGGAGAAAAGTTAACAAAAAAAAAATCTGCAGTCCTGTTATTCTTTTCGTGGATTCTGTATTCCTGTTTTCTCAGCTGATATGTATCCTGTTATTTCTGAGCCTTTAGAATAAACCCAGTATTTTATTATGACATAACTATTGTAGCACAGAAAATTATTTTTTTCCATGGAGGGAGATAGCAGTTACCTGTTTGTGTAAAATCCTTTTTACGTTCCCTAGTAGGTATCTGATATATATCTGTCATTAGCTATGTCTTTGTTTAAACAAAATTAAACTGTGTTCTCTTTCGGTAACAAAGTCACAACAGATAATTCAGATTTCATTTCCTTTCAGAAATGAAGGAGAGGAGACATTTAAAATGTATTTGCTCTGCTTTGGAGGTCTGGGACTATCTTAGAATTTTGTTCATTAAAACAGGGCTTGCATTGTACCCTTAAAGTATAGTTAATCTTGAACAGATTTCATTTCGCTTCGTTGAGCAGTTTTAGAACTGAAGATAGGTTTTATTGCAGTCTTTAATTTTTGAAATCCCCAAAATAATGCGTACCAATTTGAGGCAAATGTGTTGCACAATGAAATATTTCAGACGATGCGTACGAAGTATGTCACTGCAGTGATACGCTTCTCAGTCACTGAAGGTTCTCAGAGTCCTCCTCTTGTCTGTTGTCTTTACCTTTCTATTGGCGGTGAGATAGGTTAAGAATTGGCTGGTAAGGAGCCAGCAGCTGTGTTAAACTTCGCTGAAGCTCTTCCTAGATGCAGGACCTGGTCATAAGAATGTGTTGTCTTCCATTTTGTTCATAGGTATGGGAGGAGCTGCTATAGCACCACCAACATCTCTTGTTGAGAAGGACAAAGAACGTAAGTACACCAAAACCCTGTTCTCTAACACCTAGAAATGTTTTTCAATTCTCATCCAACCTTTTCTTCAGTTAAGAAGTCCTGTCGCTTCTCCCATACGGTTCCTAGTGGCAAAAGGGCCCGTACTTGTTCTTTGTTGACGGTGGAGGCTTTGGGGAACCTGCGATATTACTGTGATTCACATTTCTATTCTGTATTGCTAGAGAAGTGATTTAGCAGTCTGGTCTGTGATAGCTGTGTTCAGTCACTCATTTATGATGTGAAAGAAGAAGAAACGTTGCAAACTGTTTTTTCTAGGTAGACTAGAAATTAACTTCCACAGTGCAGAGAGAATTTTTTTCACTACCTTTTGTGTTAGAAGGTATCTTTATGAATGCCTTTTCTGAAGGGGTTGTACATTAAGGACAGGATTTTGTAATTTTTTACGAGGGATAAAGTATCAGCTAAAAGATGCTCACAAGATGGGGTTTCCTGTCCTTTCAGTGATAGCTTGAGAAAGAGATTGGAGTTGTCCACTAGATGGCATAATCTTGCTGTAAGAACAAAAGTATTCAGGTTTTTTTGCATGTCTGATTGTCTTAAATTTTGAAATTAAAATAATAAGCAGTGTATTGTGTATGTCATTATGAATAAAAAATTTGAGTATTATACGCATAACAAACTTTCCTTTGGAAGTCCTGATTTAATTTAGGAGTAGATTCAAATCAAAAAAAGTGTAGCTTGATGGAGTAAGTGAATGACATAACAGTGAAGGCATTTGACGTGTGTAAAACACTAAGAAAGGAAATGTTTTATGTAAATAATTAAAAGCAATTGAGCAATGTCAATGAAAAGTAAATACAGGCTGGAAATGGTAGAAATATCCTGGGGGGGGGAGAGCTTTTAAAATTGAGATGATCTCACAAGGGAATCTCTGTATGACTTGTTACTTGATGCTCAAAGCTAGGCTGGACAAACCTCAGAAAATATTACTCTAGCAAAATTCTTTAATCTCTTCCATCTGCTGCCTGAACGGGAATTTTTTTTTTCCTCATACTGTGTCCCCAAACTTCACGTCTGCCGTTTTGTTTGGTAAGATACAAAAGCTGATTAACACAAGAAAATACTCTAAAGTGAAGTCCATCTAAAAGTATTTAAATGCATTCACGAGCGTGTTCTTCATAGAGTTTCGCTAGTGTGTTGTATTTGGTTGCCTTTCTTTTTTTAACTTGGTAGTTTGACTTGTCAGTGGAAAATGGTATAATAATCTAATCAGTATGATATACATATCTCCCAGGAAAGGGCTTAGTTGAGAAATAGTGAGCAAGATCTCTTCAGGTTGTATAAATGTTTTACTTTAAGAAGTCTTTGCCAGTGATCTCTATGGAGAAGAGGAAATCGGTTGTGCAGAAAACAGTTCTAAATTTGTATTTTTTTTAAAGGAGGACTGATTTCTCCTTCGTATAAATGTACGGCGTACTTTTCTTTACAGTCTTTAGGCCCCACCTTTGTGCATTCATCCATTATTTTCATAATTCCGTTGCTGATGAACGGTGCTTTAAGTTTCCTTGCAGTCTGCCTGGATAAACTCGTTGTGATGCAGTAGCCTCCTAATGTTTCTTTTCTCCAGTTGATGAGTTAGAGGTTAATAAAAGCATTATAGGCGTGTGGAAACAAACTCAAATAATGTATGCTATGAGGAAATTACAGCAGATCTCAAAGCTTAAATCTTGTATATGAGAGAGAGATGAGAGGATGTTAAGAAAGCATGTGCAGGGAAACAGTCTTCTGATTTGGATTTACATGAAAGACCTTTTTTATTAACGTGAATACTGAAGGACAAAAAAGGACAACTCGCAGAGGAAGATCTTTCTGTAAATGAGTTAGACTGAAGACAGAGTACTTCAGTGTTCATGACAAATACATAGTTCATGCAAAGTATTTTAGTGAAAAAGCAAATGCCTCCGTTCCCTTCCAGCTGTAGCATCCTTTCCATTTGAAGAAGAGTCAAGACCTCGGGCACCATCCTCTAAAGCAGCTATTCCTCCTCCGGTGTATGATGAGCCAGAAAGACCTCGTTCCCCCACAGGACCTAGTAACTCTTTCCTTGCTAACATGGGGTAAATATGTTTGACACATTAACAATTTTTGAAAAAAGCATTAGAAGGTGGTGGAAGCCAAAAGTTAAAACAGCTTGTCAGTAAGAAGAGGAACACAACTTTGCATGTATATGGTTGTTCTAAGTGCATGTGGTCCTAACTAGGAAGATACGAAAACAGCAGCAAATTTCTTCGAATGATTTATTCTTTTGAGATGACTGTATTCAAGGCTGTGCCTTTAAGCAAGTTCTGAAGCCCCATTCCGGTATAAAGTGTTTATGGCTTGTACGAGCCAAGCTAGCGTAATCTGCAGGAGAACACAGATGACGTGTGAGTGCCTCCAGGTTCCTCTTTCAGCTTTGCCCTGAATTTGCTGTGTACCAGTGGGCAAGTAATTTGAGCCCTTGTTTGTTTGTTTCTTCAAAGATGCAAAGCATGTTTGTATGAAAGTGGCAGCAGCTGTGGCTGCAAATCCGTCCATTTGCTTTTCTGCTTTGGATTAGCGTTGTGTGCAATGCTTGTATTACTAGTGAGATGACAAAGTGAAGTTGAATTTATAATTATGAACAGCTTAGAGACATCATTTGGAAGGTGTAGTGTTTAGCTATGACCATCTTGGACTTTAGTCATATCGGGTGTTGCGTAAGTGCAGCCTCAGTGTAATGAAAATTATATCCAGGAAGAATATGGCCCTAAAAGTGTAGTTTATAATGTTATTACAATGCATTTTCCATTCTTGCTTTCATGCAGGTTTTTGATATAAACACACTTTTTTACATAGTCCGGAAAAAGGATAGCCAAAATCAGTACTGTTGGACCAGTTTGTGTTGTTACCGCTACTAGTTAACAATATCCTAGGACCCACACTTCATTGAGAAAAGTGCTAAAAATACTACCTGACCTACCTTATTTTTACCCGACATTGGCTACTGCTTATTCTGTGGCTTAATGTTTTAACCTTTGAACGCTATGTAGCCAGACCTTTTTAACGTGCATTTATGTGTTTTATGTTGTATGCTTAGAAAAATAGTCATGTAGTCACTGAGCCTACGTTTTTTTTTTTCCTGTAATGCCTGTTAGTGAAACAGAAATGACCGAGTGTAGAATACTGGCTGCGGTGGAAACTATTGTACCATGGCATATTTTTTTGTTCCTCCGCCTGTCTAGTCACGGTATGCAAAGAAACGTTAGCCTGTGTAGGTATTTTGATTCTAGAGATTCTTTCAATGGGAATTGCAAAATCAGTCAGCGGGGTGGGTTTTTGCGTTTGCTCTGTAAATAGATTGGGGAATTTGCTGCCTCCAAAAGTTATTGAAAATTCATAAAGATGGGATATGTTTAAAATGGCTATTAAGAATATCCAGACTTGTTACAGGAAGGGGCAGTAAAGCTAGGTATTCTGCTAGGTAAGCTAGCTATTCTGGAGCCTAAGCCGTACGTTTTCACCATGCAATGAGATTTTTAGGAGGTAGAATGTCTGATTAGTCAGGAAAAGCAGTGTTTTAACAATATTTTGATAGTGTTTTGTGTAAGAAACCTTTACTAACTGGTCCTTTTTCTCTTTGCAGAGGGACAGTAGCTCATAAAATCATGCAGAAGTATGGTTTCAGAGAGGGCCAGGGTCTGGGGAAGCATGAGCAGGGACTGAGCACAGCACTGTCAGTAGAGAAAACAAGCAAGAGAGGTGGCAAGATCATTGTTGGTGATGCTGCAGATAAAGGTAATTTTGTCCTGCCCAAAAGGAAGAGGGAAGTTTCTGTGGCTAATGGTCAGGAGAAATTATGTGTCAGTGGGAGCTCCTGGACATTTTTTGTTTTTTCCATCCTCCCTTCTATCCTTGTACAGAATATTAAGGTTAGGAAAATGACACCTTCCTTCTTGTGGAAGGAACACGTTCCTAGTTCCATCTTTTTTTAAAAGTGGTTCTCTTCGTTATTTGAGTTCATCCTCCTCTTACCTGTTAGGTTGTCTTCCTTTAGTGTTCGGAAGCCTCTGTCTGTACCTTCTCTTCAGGATGTGATCCTGCTCAATTCCTGCTGGCTTTCTCCCTGGCACATGCATTAGATATTGCCCTAATTGCCCTGGGGTTGTCTGGTCTAGAGACAACATCTAGGCTTACTAGAACAGCACCTCTGCCTGAGCTCACATGTGTTAGGAGTGAGAAGATCTGATTTTTTTTCTTAGTGGATCTAGTACAGTTTCGAACTTCTGAGTGATTTCCTTCAAAGAAATAGTCAGTTGTCTATGTTTTGGCTTAATTTATGTGCCCTAGCAGTGGTTTGTCTGCTTATTATCTATCCAAGTAGCTAGGAGTTCTGAAAGGCTATTCCTTACCAACATGAAACTAGAGTTAGTGGCTTTTATGCCATTGTTTTATAACAATAAGATTGTGATAAAAGCCCCCACTGTGAGCTTTAAATGAGCTTTAATCTTAAATTATTCCGTGAATCACTTTTCTCTTGTTATAGTAGATGCAGCCAAGAAAACAGATTCTAACCCGTTAACTGAGATACTGAAATGTCCAACTAAAGTGGTCTTATTAAGGGTAAGTTGAAAGTAAGGGGACGCATCTTGGTGCTTTCAGCATGCGTGTCTGTTTCGAGTGCATAAACCTGTATTTCTATTACAATGCATCTATATAGACAGTTCTGGCCTAAACCTTATACCATTTCTGTCCCCTTTCAAAATGTCTCAAAAGCACAGCGCCTTTATGTGTTGTGGAGAAAATAGGTGCCCCCCCTGAAATAAGTTATGACTGTAAAGCAATGCTGATTTAGATTACACAGTGACCGTGTCACAGTGTTTTAGTCTAAGGATTTGTCTAGCACTGTGATGCTTGAAATGGCGCTCGGCTTGGTAAACAGAAGCTTAAAATACAGTCACAATTGCATGCATTCATGATTTGTCTACGTAATTATCTACTTGGGCTACATCCAGTGAATTGGATTTCCTCTCAACTTGTAGAACATGGTAGGTGCTGGGGAGGTAGACGAAGATCTGGAAGTTGAAACTAAGGAAGAATGTGAAAAATATGGCAAGGTTGGGAAATGTGTCATCTTTGAGGTAAGAGATAATCTGTCTCTTGGTGGCTGCTCTGAAAGCAAATTGGGCATTTGTGTCTCAGGACTGACTTGATACCCCCTTAAAGAAGGGGCAGAGCTGAGGATTTCTCAGGGTCCCTAGAAGCCTTATGTTTCTGTGTTTTCCATTATCGGTGAAAGTACAAACTTTTCAAGTCAGAAACTGAGCAAAAACTGGGGGTATTTTACTTTTGGAGCTGCCTTTAGTTCCTCCTGCTAGAATTAGTCTTTTACATTGAATCGTTTGTAGAGAAATGTCTCACTCCCATTTATTTGAAAGGTTCCCTTAAAGAAACAGGTTCCATTGTGGCAGTTTTAAATCTCCCTTTGGCCCCTGGACCGCACTGTGAAATACTGAATACTGAAAATACAATGCCTGTATTTTTTGTTGTCTTCACTACTTCTGTGAAGAGCAACACTTTAAAACAGTATCTTGGTAATGCTCTAATTGATTCTGTTTTTCCTCAGATTCCTGGTGCACCTGATGATGAAGCTGTAAGAATATTTTTAGAGTTTGAACGGGTTGAATCTGCTATCAAAGGTAGAATGCTACGTTGTTTCATGTTAATTTCGGTGTGAACTTGTTTAGAGATTAAACAGCCTCACTCATTAGACTGTTTAGCTACATAATTTTTTATTTTACTGAATTTCTGCTTGCTGATCTGGTTTTCATTTTCATTCCAGCTGTGGTGGATCTAAATGGAAGGTACTTTGGTGGCCGAGTGGTGAAGGCTTGTTTCTACAACCTGGACAAGTTCAGAGTATTGGATCTGGCAGAGCAAGTGTGATTTTTAAAATCTAGCTCGAGGTGTCACTGTTTTGGCAATCATGTTTTCAGCAGTAGGCTGGGAATAAAGAAGAGAAACGTAGCTTTCCTAGCAAACTGGAAACAAGCCTCATTGAATGGATTTTTCGCATTCGTTGTGACTTACACTTTTGTAATATAAAGCCCTTTGAAAGTAAAATTCACGTCTGTGTGTTTTTGAATTGCACAATTCTGCTTATTGCTCTGGGAATCCTGATTTTTTTGGAGCTTTCAAAGGACTTCGTTCTTTTGAAACCCACTGCTGAGGAGATGCTTTGTCTGTATTCCTGCTTTCCTTGTTCTGGTGCTTCATCATGGAGTCCGCTGTGCTGCATCCACAATAAGTGGGAAGCTTTGGAAAAGGACTGTGTGCTATCATGCCTCTCTTTCCTGACGATATCTCCCAGAATTCCAGCCTTGCTCGTAAGTCCTCAGTCTCTGCACTCCAGAGTGATTTGGGGTCACTGGACGATTGGCAGCTAGTTTATTCTCTCCTGACTCCAGGACAATGCTTTCCATACCAGAATTGGAGAGTAAAGTAACAAGGAATGAGCCTGAGTTTCTTCCCGTATCCAAAGAAAATACACGCTTAACCCAGGGAAATGGAAGGAGTTTTAAATGCCTAGCCATGTAAATCGGAATGAGTGGACTGTCAGCAGAAGCTCTACGCTGTCAGACAGTCTTAGCTAGAAATATCAAGGGTTATCTGATTTCAGGTCAGTACTGAAGTGCTATAGGTAGAGCTGAGGGACACTCATTCTTGCATCTGGCTGACTGTGTGATTCTCACTTCCTCTAACATCGCACTTAGTTACCTAACTTTTTAATTGAGTCAAACCTGGCATGTGCGCTCTCTCTATATTTCTGTATTTGCAGTCAAGTAACACTGCAGGGTGACTCTAAGAAGGCAGGCCAGTTGGAGTTTTCAAAATGATAGGCAATGGAAGAAAATTCAAATGAAAATCTGAAGAGTTGACCAACTAAACACTCCAACTCTTCTCTTTTTTTCCCTGTCTGATATGAAATAATATATGGCACTCTGTTCCTGGTCTTATGTTCAGTTTTTGTTTGGAAACAGTATGTGACCAAGAGCTGGCAAGAGGTGGCCATGCAATGATGGCAGTTGTCTCTGTGCTCCGTGATACTTTGAATGGCCGCTGAAATTGTACAAATATTAAAATGGAAGAGAGCTTTGAGGGCATTTTAGCTGGTTGGAAGTTGATGCTGGCTGTCTTTTTCCTGTTGTACACATGTATTGGGGGGTGGGGTATAGACCTGTAGTTGATCAATGCTGTGAGTATCTCCAGTTCTTGCCCTTTTTTAACTTTTGGCTGCAGATCTATATGACAAATTCTTGGTCTTTTTTATTTTGTCTGCTTGTGTTCCAACAACCTCTGTACAAACATTCGCTTGTAAAACAAAACAATTTTTAAAAAAAACTTGTATTTTACCTACTGCGTGTCTGCTTCCTTACTGTCCTCCTCTGTTGTACAAGACCTTCCCTTCAAGTCGTTCGCGTCAACGTTGTGTGTGCTGATGATGGCAATAGCTGGAATCCACCAGTACACCCAGCCTAACTAATACTAAAACCACAGGGTTTGGGGCAATAGCAGAGCCAATAACAGAATCTGGACTTTGTTGTTAATTTTCTGTGTGACCTTGAGCAACACTTTAAGGCCTACTTCATATAACAAAACAAAGAAATTCATCTAATATGAATCAGCATGCATTTAGTTATAGAAGTAGGTAATTCAAATGAAACGCTATGAAAATGCACTGATAATTGATTTAGTACGACTTGAATTTAGCGTGAAATGTGCCTTGGCTTTAGGCAAGACGTTTTATTTCTGACTCTTATTTCAGCAAACGTTGGTGTTCTGAGTTACTAGCGGTAAGTGTTTCCTGAGGGATACAGACTGTTTTTTATATCTTCTAACTAGCTGTTCTCCTGCCTTTTTCTTTGTAATAGCAGCTTCTGAGCTTCTGATTTGATGACTTGGAAGCTTGAATTTGTCATTCATCGGCTGCAGGAATCGGCTCGGCTTAGTATGCTTCTTGCCTCCTTCAGGCTTTTGTCTGTGTCCGTTCCATTTAAATTTCTCTTGAAATCTTATTTCATCCATGGGTCTTCCAGTTGCTGAGAACTGCTTTACTGGCAACTTTTGTACCATTTAGTTCTAAAAATACTCCTCATTGTGGTTGACTATTTGTGGGCAAAGTTTACCCTGGAAACGTCGGCGAGATGACATGTTGATTTGGTATTTTGTGTAGGAGAAAGACTGATTCTGTAAACAAAGTATTTATTTGTACCATGCAGTCACTAAAATGGTTTACCTCCTCCTAAAGCTCAGCAGGCATAAATTGCCTTAGCTTCATCTCCTTGTCGGTACTCATTCTGGTGGGTGCTGTGCAAGCACGTTATGTTGGAGCCTGGTTTATAAGCAGTTGTCCTCTAGGTGCTGCCACAGTAAGCGTTCTAAACACGTATACGGTCCTTAGCCTGTTAGTAGCAAGGTGTTGGATGTGTTTTGGGTTTGGTTTTTTGTATTTTTTTTCTTTTTTTGGCAAATGCCCATTCTTTCACTTTACCTGTGTTGACCTGTTGGCACAAACTTTCTCGGGTAAGGTTGTATCTTGCAGGCCTTTAAAAATCGGGCTCCAAATTCACTACTGTATTTCCTACTTTCACTGGAAACTGTTATTACTGACTTTTTTTTCTATTTCTTGTAATTTCTCAAATTAGCTTTTACCTAACACCTCCAGCTGCTACTGCTTAAACATGCATTATTTCCTTCCCTCGTTCATCAGCACCCTCTCAGAAGGCTCGGCAGCCCTTAGGTTGAATTCTTAACTATAGCTACGGAGTTCTACTTGCACTGGTTTGTCTTTGCGTAGTTGAAGTTACGCACCCACCTCTTTGTAAGGTATGTTGTAAACAGACAGCTTCATAACTCTGGTCTGAAGCAATAATTTTTTGTTTCTCTTTTTGGGCGATGCCTTAAAAGCTCGTGATTACAGAAAATGAAGAGGATGATGGCCTGTCAAGATTAAGATATCTGCTTGCCTTACATATCTTCATTTAAGTACAGTATTGGTATTCAGTGTTTTTCAGGCTTGATTTCCTAACGTTAAGCTTTAATTCCGTGTTTGTATGTACCCTTGTAAATACTCTGATGTGCGGAATAGCTGACTCTCTTCTCAGGCTAAATATGAACTTTTTATTACTTCTGGGAATCTAGATTAGATGCCTACTTAAGGGAGATTTAGCAGTGTCCTGAAGCTAACAATAAGCTGAGAGGTGCGTGCAGGACATGTCAGCCTGGAGCTGAAAGAGGTGTCCTTAGTGCATTACCAAGCCTGAAGTCTTAAGAACATGGATTTGTACAGTAGTGTATAACTGTTTGCTGTCGTGTTCTTTTCCTCACCGATAACACTCTGGTTTCTTTTTTAAAGTAGGGAAGTAGCGACTTGATCTTTTCGTAGCTGTTATAACCCCAAGGTCTCATTCCTGAGTGGTAACACCTATTTCAGAGCTTTATGTACATAGGTTATGATTTTTTTAAATTTTTCTCTTATTTTTCTCTTATACTTACCTATATTGAATTAGCTGCCAGTTTTATCACTTGCCTGCTCTCTCCCAGGCTCAAGAAATGTGATAAGCTGGAGCTCACAAGAAACGTGGGCAGTCCTTTTCTTAGCGTTATTGTCAAAATCTAAGCTTGCTGGGCTAACATGTGAAAGGTGAGACTTGTTGCCTCAAAGAACTTGCTGTCTAAATAGCCATATAAGGGCAGAGGAAGACAGGTAGAGGAAAGTGATTTACTGAAACCCATGCAGAAGATTGGTAACAGTGTCGGGGTTATACCCTGTTGCCCTATACTTGCAACTATGCAACCAAAACCCAAATTCCTGCTGCAGTTGCTTTTTATTTTTATGACAAAATGCTAAGCACTCTCAGCCCTGAACTTTAAACTGCACTGGATTCAGCTAAGAGGAGATGTAATTTGTGTGCTGCAATCTGTGCAAGTGCTTGCCTTTTGAGTTACTTAACTGAAACTCAAGCTCCTTGTAGGTCTATCTGAGCGTGTCTGCAGTATGTTACCCTTCTGTGTAGAAGGAAATAGGCTGTGTAAACTAGCATAATTTTCACGAAGATGGATGAAAATATGGGAGGCTTCAGCAAAGTTCTTAAAGATAATTATTTCCCCACAAGCAGGAAATGAAGGACTTTCAGTCCTTACAGCACTGTTAGTGCTGTTAGTACAAGAATAGTCCCCTAACAAGACTTAACATTCATCCCATGTTAAATGAGGGCACTAAATCATTTCCCAAGCCCACTAGAAACAAGTTAGACTTTCTGATGAGCTATTTCCCTAATTACACACAGTTCATCAAAATAAGATGCTTTGTACTTCTGAAGCAGGTTACCTCTGAGGCAGAGCCATGATACGTAAATAGTTGTTGATTTTACAGAGAAGGAAACTGAGATAAGCCATGCACCAGCAGGGTCGTGGCAGCTGCGGTGGGAATGTAGACCACAGGAACAGGAGGCTGGAATTCCAGATTCTGGTTCTTCAACTCCATTCTGTGAGTAATTTTGCCTGCATGTGATGCCTATCTCTGTGAACGGGTGAGTTGCAGCTTGCGTCAAATTGGAAATTCATTAATGATTTTTTTTTTTTATAAGGTGGAAACAATAACGGTTTTGCTGCCTTTCTTTCTGCTAGATGCAGTAATAAGAGGTTGACTTTTATGAGTATAGTGCTTAAAATAGTTCACGTTTTTGCCACTACTGGAAGTACCAACAGAGGCACAGCTTGAGTTCACTGTGAAGAGCAAGGTACCATCTGTATCTGACGAGTTTATACTTTCCTTTGGGATATGGAAAATCATAGTCTTAATATTATTGGTCTGTCAGACCAGGCCTTTCATTACTTTTAATTTCCAAAACCTTAAAAATAAATGAAAATTCTCTTAAAATCGGAAGAAAGCAAGAGTGTGCATACAGCTGAGGGCTGCTTACAGAGGCATCCAACACTGATAACATATTAATGGGCCAAACTTCCCCCAGGAACCTTTCCCCTGCCAGGTTCAACGCTGTATCCCTGCTCTTTCCTTTTTTTAAATGCTGCTTACAATTGCAGAGCACAGATTTGTTGCTTACAGGCACCTACTGTACTAGTAACTGCAGGACGTGTGGTAACGGATTGGACTCTGAGAGTTTATACCTTCAGGTGATGAGGCACTTGTGCTTAAAAGAGGAATGGGGATTGATAGCATCAGCATTGCACCCTGTCTGTTAATTTGGCATTAGCTCAGCAATGGCCTGTTTGCAACTGGCTTACTGACTTCTTTGAGAACTCCCATGTTTTTTCAGGTAGTGGTTGGATTTCGAAACCTCATGTTTGCATTTCCACATGGAAGGGGAACCTCTTTTGGGAGAGACATCGCAACAGACGGTCACACCATCACTTCTAGATTCACCCGCTGGTCAAACTCCAGCTACTGCCCAGTAGCAGTCACATCTGAATCTGGCCTTCTCCGCTGTGTCAGAGAAAAGAATTTAGCTTGTGCTATATCTTGGATCTGTCAGCCAGGAGATCTGGCTTTCTCTTGCGCTAGGCTGCAGAAGAGGTAGGTTTTTCATAGACTTTTTTTTTTTTGGGGGGGGAGGGTGTTTCTTGGTGTGTCATATAGGCAATTCTTCTAATATTTCTAATAAATGACTTCTTTCTTTTTCTGTGATGCTGAAGGTTTTATTCTAGTTGCACAGCAGTTAAAGTGCCACTGCAGAGCCTTTATCACCTGATCAGTTTGGCTTATGTGAAACATTATTTTTCTCACTTCCTCAGGGCCTGCCCTCTGTGACTCACAGGCTGCCCTCTCCTTTTAAACCTTATATGGGCTTCCAGAAATGCAGAGGCTTTGAGGTTAGCGCTAGACTAAAACTATCAACAGTGAGCAGCAGGTACTGACTGCTCAACCTCATGAAACAACAGGTCTTACTGCATATTTCACCTGTTTTCTCCTGTTTGAAATTCTCCGTTGGTGGTATTCTGGTCTCTCCACTAGCCTGCTTGTGTCACTCACCCATATGCTTTCCTAAAAACTGAAATGATGGTTCTAGCTCAACATACAGGGCTCAGTAGAGAGCTCTTTAAAGAGAAGCAACATAATTCCTGTCTCTCCCTTCTTAGACTATGTTCCTCCAAAGTACAACAGAGACAGAGTAAAGGACACTGCTCTCCAGGACTCTGGTGCTTGCTTTCCTCAAATCCTGTCCACCAGATCCAGATGTTTTGGGAGCTCATCTTAAAGTGTAAATACTTTATTCCGTGTTGGTTCATACTGCGGTAGTGCCAGGACCCAGTCACAGGTCTGCCTGGTGCTGTGTAACAGTAGAACAAAAAAGTAATTTCTGCAGGACGTTGCTC